TTTACTATTTCTGTTAAGAATATCATCTGTTCTAGCCCAAAATCTATCCTCTTTGACTACTGTCTTTTTTAAATTCCACGTGAAATAAATTGCAGAAAGTTATGACCTTACACCTCTATTTTAAAAGCTTCAATGCTTCACCATTACCTAATTCACACTCTTCACTTCATTTCAATTATATTCATATTCTAAGCCTTTCACTTTTAACCACAACCTGCAAATCTGCTTTTATACTCCACTCTTCCCCACTTGCGCATCGTAGATTCTGGTGCATGACTGATAAACTAGAGCTATTCTCTGAGCGTTTTTGCCTTTTCCTAACTGTGTTTCATAATGCTGTTCTTCCTGCTGCTCCACCTACATGACATTTTCATATTTTGTCTCATGTCGTGGAACCCCAGTAGTTTTTCTGTGGGTAATCTTTTTCCATTCCTCTTTTTAGTGTAGTTACACATACACTTGACATTTTTCTTCATCATAGTACTTTTGGGACGGTAGAGTTTGTTTCTTGTATATGCCGTGCTGAGTCAAGCACAGTTTGGGTACTTAGGACGTAATCTGGAAATTGTTTTAGTTGAACTACATGTGTAACTAGAAACCAGTGTTGCTTCCAAGGCTAACTACTCACTAAACCTTGATGATCTGAAGCAGAGGAGGCTTCACCTTGCCTGCCCGCCCTGCTGTAGAAATTGCGGAATGGGTTAGCCTGGACAGCACTGCTAGGAAGGATTAATTTCACAGGGTTCTTGCTTTGAGCAGAAAGACAAAGAAGAAACATAAGGACTAGCTGGTCCATGAAAAACGTTGGGTGGAATACTCAAAATGGGAATGCAGAAAAAAGAAGCACTGAAAGTCTAAGATTCTGGCTTAATATTTGCTCTAAGTTTGAAAATGTCGTATTTGTAAGTTTGTATAATTTTTCATTCTAACCTGTAGTTCCCCTTATTGTTGCTTCATGTTTATCTGGATGCAAACAGGAAAAGGATATCCTCTGGTGGTTTATTTTGGGAAGGCCAAGTCATCAGAAAATCACCTCAGACTGCCTGCCTGCCTTACCAGATTGTATTTACACATATACATAGAGACTCATTCATACTGTGGGAAAGGAAAAACATAAGAAGTTTAGTGCTTGTCTTACTAGCCATTTCACCAGTATACTTTTTTGTCTAGACTTAATTCATTTATCATAATCTTCTTGATGGTCTGTTGTATTCCAAGTGCTAGGATAAAGTAGGTGAAAGGCCAGGGCTCTGATCCTTTGTGTACCCTGCTTTAATGAAGGTGGCATTTTTTGTAGCAACGTTTGGTATTATCGTACAGGTCTCTGAGGCTCTGTTAAATATTCTTTTTGGCTTTTTTCCTGTCTTTGTTTTTCAGTTTGGGTATTTTTTATTGCCCTTCTTCAAGTTTATTCTTCTTATGGTTTACATTTTTTTGTTGAGATTTACCATTTTTCCCCTAATTGTTTGTATTTTCTTTCAAGTTCTTGAACTTATTGATAATAAATGTCAAAAGTTTATGTCTTTTGATTCCATCATCTCTGTCATTCCTGGGTCTCTCTCTTGATTGATATTTGTCCTGGTTGTGAATCACATTTCCCTGCTTCTTCACGTGTCTAGTAAGTTTTTATTGTATGTTGGACATTGTGGATACATTTTTAAAATTCTTCTCTAGTTACTAGAGGATTAAGCTTTTTTCCCAGGGACTGCATCCTCAGAAGCATCATTCTGGTCATCATATCTACCTTTACCAAGTGACCTGCCTTGCTTTGTTTATTCAAGGAATTAGACCTTGGACTCTGTTTGGCTCACTTTATTTACTTATTTTTTGAATTACCAAATCCTTTTAAATTTCTTAGCATGTTGTTGGCCACCGTTTCTTACTTTTTATTCAATCCTTATTTTGCTACTTTATTCACACTCACAAACTCTTAACAGTTTAATATGTTCTCTTAACTAATTTTATTTATCTTTTTTCTTTGCATTGCACTTTGAAAAAAAAGTACAGGTAAGGGAAGACAATTGTCAGGATAGATTAAATTCGTTCCTTTGCACATGGCCTTAAAAGATTCTTAAAAGAGTTCTTTCAGTAGCCTTCTCCCAGTCCCTACCCATGACTTGCACTCTCCCTAAAGAGTTCTTTTCTTTTCTTTGTTTTTTTATTAAATTTATTGGGGTGACATTGGTTAGTAAAATTATATAGGTTCCAGGTGTACATTTCTATAATACATCATCTATAAATTGTGTTCTATGTTCGCAGGAGTTATTTTCTTAAATGTCTTCACTTCTGAGGCAGACGACAATAAGCCTTTCTTATTGTCCACATAACTCAATTGCATCTTGCCTTTTTATGTCGTGAGCCATCTGTCTGTTTACCAGACGTAATCTAAAAGGTGAGAATGGAACTAGGTTGAAATAGTCTGGGTCAGGGGATGAAAAACTGAGACTGAGATGAGGACAGGGTGGTTTCAGAAACCAAATTTATAAGGTAGATTGTCTTTAAGAATTGATAAAATGGAAAAGACTATTCCAGGGGTGAACTACTGTATTCTGAAAAATTAACTTGTATAGAAAATATTGCTTTAGTGTTTTTAAAAACTAAGTTCTTAATTTAAAATAAGTGTATGTATATAAATTAGGCTTTTTGAAAAGTCATTTTAGCATGTACACATTTTTAAATTAAAACTACTGTCTCTGAAAAAAGATTTTAATCTGGTAGCAAGCTGGTAGTTCCAAAGAGGAATTATTTAGAAATCTACTCCACTTTTATACCCTGCTGTTCCACAGCCAGAAAGTAACTCGGGGAGCATGCTAGTCATGAGGTGGGGTTGCCCCCACATGCTCTTTACCAGACAACGTGTCTCATTTATAGATCTCAAGTTGGGTGTTTAACCTGGTTTGTTAACTAGCTGTTACTTGAAGCTGTGCAGAAATCCAAATGAAGTGTGAAACAGGATCTTAGAAAACAAATTAGGACTCTTTCCGTTGCACTAATCAGAGTCTTTACTTGAATTAACGAAAACCAGAATGGATTTATTGACCCACAGAGAAAGCAGAGGCAGCTCTGGCCTCAGGGAACCTGGATGCTTGCAGGTCTGTCTGTCTCGAGGCCCTTGGCTCCCTCGTTTGCCTGCTCTTCCCCCAGCTCCTGTGATGCTTTCAGTCGTTGGTATGCTTGTGCTGTGCTCTTTCTCTCTCCTACATGCTCTGTTTCTATTGCTTTGTTGCTCTGTGTCCCTGTCTCATTCTCTTCTTATGTCTACCTTATTGTTCACTGCACTTCCTCACCAATCCCTTGCCCCTTTCTCTGCCTATTGGCTCCATTTTCTCCCACCACACACCGGCTTTCCCGTGCGACTGTAGGCTGCTCTGCATCACATTCTTCCAATTCAGGAACCAGAGAAAAAAAGGATGTTCTGCCCTCCAGCTCCAATTATAAAAATCCAGAGATGAGGCCTTTCTACCTTAGCTTACAGAGCCAGGGGCAGGGCACTGTTCCCCAGTGGCATCTCGGGGCTAAGTTGGAGGGGAACAGCAATTCCCTAAACGAAGGAAGATCCTCTTCCGGGCAGAAAATCACTAAATGTGCAATACAGGAGATGAGATTAAGTATTTGAAGATTCCATAGTCTTCATTAATACTCACATTTGAGTGCTTGTTTACTTTTATGAAATTCCTATGTTCAACTCATTTTTTTTCTGTCACTGCTTCAAAATTAATGCCTTTTCATTAATATGAATCTAATGAGAGTAATATTTGGAGATATTGCCTACGAATCCACTTCAGGACAATTTTTATTTCCTAAAAGACATCTTCATTGTTTTCTGTAAATGATAAATTTAGATATTTAAAAATCTGCTAGTTCCTTTATAAGTATCTGAGACTAATGTTTCCAGAGTTGTGGTTTGGTTGTAAGCATAAGTTTATATTAAAGATTGGTTAGAATAATTTCTAATCTTCTTGATACAATTTTAGATTCAACAGTTAGGCATTGGGAAATGATCGGTATTTGTTTAACCCTTCACAACTGGTCTATTTTAACACTTTTCAACACTTTTTACCTGTTTTATGCTTCTGTTCTTAATTTATATAATTAAGCCTACTAGACTCTAAACCTCAGTGGTGAAAGAATAATATTTTATTTACAACAGTCAGCATAGACTAATAGGTACTTAGAAAATAATTGTTGGGCCGGCCGAGTGGCGCGATGGTTAAGAACTGGCGTGGGACGCCAGAGGGCCCCGGTTCGGATCCCACATATGAGGGGCAGTGACACTGCCCTCCACAGCTAAGATGCTCAACAACAGCTCAACCTGGAGCTGGGCTGCTGTGAGTCGCCGGTGACGGCGTAGGCTGCAGTCCCTGTGGCAGTGGGTTGCCATGGGCTACCGTGTATAGCCAGCAGCCAGCGTGAGCGGCCAGCAGCCGCAGTGAGCGGCCGTCCAGAAGCCAGCGACTGATCTGCCTCGCCCGGGAAGAGCGCAATGATGGTGCCAACTTGGGCCAGTGAAGCAACGTCCTCCACAACTAGACTGATGAACAAAATGACAGCAACTTGTCTATTCCCCTTCCCCAATTCCCCAGCGCTGTTCCCATTCCCCCAATTCCCCAATAAAAATCTTTAAAAAAAAAAAAAGAAAAGAAAAGAATTGTTGGTAAACTCTCTTTATCTTTCCTGCACTTCATGTTTTAGGAAATATACTTTTAGGAAATACAAATGTGTGTTGGAAAACAGGTATTAAAACATTTAGTGATGTTTGGGTCTCCTAACCATTTTATATTTATGGGCTCAGATTTATCACCTAGATATCAGACTGTAGAATAATGAGTCTGTATTTTGGGCAGAGAGAAACCTTTTATAAATAAGTATTTTGTTTTTGATATACAGTATTGCCTGATTCTTTATAATATTTGGTAGAGAAGGATAGTTTTGATTAATTTAAACTGTAAACATAATTTTTATAACATGAAATGATAAGTGATCAAGATCTCTTTCTGTAGGCTACGGAAAGTGAGGTAGGAGATGTAGATTTAACACGTCTTCCAGAAGGACCTGTTGATTCTGAAGATGAAGAAGAGGAAGATGAAGAGATTGATCGGACAGATCCACTGCAGGGGCGGGATCTTGTTCGAGAATGTCTTGAAAAGGAACCTGCAGACAAAACTGATGATGACATTGGTAAGAAACACCTCTGTTTACAATAAAAATTTTATAGTTCAATTCAGATATAGTTACCTATCGAGGCATAACACATTACCTTAAAAACATAGTGGCTTAAAACAACACACATTTATTTTCTCATACTTTTTGTGGATAAGGAATTCAGGTAGTGGCCTAGCTGAGCGGTTGTAGCTCAGTGTCCTGAGGTTGTCATCAGAATGTTGGCAGCCATCGAGGCTTTGCTGGGCTGAGCTGAGGACCTATTTCTAAAGGGTTTCCTGACATGGCTTTCGGCACAAGGCCTCCATTCCTCACCATGTGGGCCTCGCCAGAGGCTGCTGAAATGTCCTCACAACACGGCAGTCGCTTTCCCCAAAGCAAGTGGTCCATGGGAGAATAAGGCAGATGCCGCAGTGTCGTTCATGATCTGGTTTCAGGAGTGACATGTCATCACTTCTTCCAAGTTCTGTTGGTCATGCAGAGCAACCCTTACACGGTATGGGAATCAACTGCATGAGGACATAAATATCAAGAGGCAGGGATCACTGGGGCCATCTTTGAGGCCGGCTGCCCCAGTTTGAGAGCCTGTTTGGAGGGTCTAGCAGGGGCACAGTTCCTTGTATGTCCTAGACTGAGAACCATTCTCCTCTGTCAGGGAAGATCGTCTACCTTGACCAAACACATAGCTTGGGGAGAGGATGCTTGCAGGGCTGAGAGGGAGGAGGAGGACACCCACCTTGCCAGCCAGATCAACTGAATCAACCCTGGCAGTCAGAAAGGTGACAGATGTCACAGCCAGATCACCCTCACATCCTGGCTGCCCAAATTTATAAAACAAAAGCTTTGGTTCCATTAAAGTGATTTTCCCCCCTTCATGTCCATATGACATTTAAAACATAGTGCATCAGTGTCCAGTGTCCATGGATTACCTTTTTTTTTTTCAATTTGTTATCAAAAATCATATCTTCTCTAGCTTGAAAAAAATATGTATATATAATTTTTGGTTAAAACTATGAATTTTCTTTTATGTAATTTCTTATAGAAGTAGTTACTATGCTTTGGGAGATTGAATAATACTAAGGATCTAATGTTATCTTTAAGGACAAAGAATACCTAGTATTGTATTGGTACAGATCAATTAAGATTTTATCCTAGATTTCCCTTTTATAGTAGTCAGAGTGCTGCTATTCAAATCAGGAGATGCTGCTACTACTAATAATCATAATATGCATGATTAAAGATCAATACATTTGAACATTCCTTTCCACTCAAATGACATATAATGTAGTTAAGTAGCCATCAGTTTAGATTTATGTTGTGAACCTTATCTGGACAGAAACCGAAAGTGCATTTTGAGTGATAAAGAATTGTATACTATGTTATTTTCACAAAGCTTTTAAAAATTGAAATATAATTAACTCCCAGTTATCTGTGGGTGGATAGCACCATATAGTTGTTTCTGTTTCAGCCCTTTATTACTCATGTATCCATACTAGGGAATGGCCTAAGGCAGGCACTCAGACATTTGTTGGTTAAATTAAAGAGAGTTACCTCGTATTATTTTGACAAATCTTGAATTAGAATTTCTCTAATTTAATTATTGACATTTATTAATAACATTTTTGCATAAAAACTCTAGCCCAGTAAAAACTAGACGAAAGGGTTTTTTCCTGATCTATTAGATTAAAGTACATCACTATAATTGAACCACTGTGGAGTGGCATCTCAGACTAGCAGATCAGATCAACTGAGTCTGTGCGGTTCCTGGTTCTGTGTGGGAGCTTGTGAGTTCTGGTATCTTCCAATATGCCTATATTTTCATGTAAGTCTGAATATATCGGTTAACCAAATAACTGATTTTTTTAGCCAGCAGTCATCTTGTGCCTTGGTTTCTCTACTTCAGCAGAATAAATTCATAAGTTGATTAGGAAATTGGGCATTGAATTGTAGATTTGATTATAGCTCTGAAGTGTAGTCCTTGATGCAGTTTCTGTTTTTATGTAGAACAATTGCTGGAGTTTATGCACCAGCTCCCTGCATTTGCAAACATGACCATGTCTGTAAGGAGAGAACTCTGTTCAGTGATGGTTTTTGAAGTGGTGGAGCAGGCTGGAGCTACTATTCTTGAAGATGGACAAGAGGTAAGTTAGCAAGTAAATGCTATACAGTATTTAGTATGGGAACGAGCTAATGCTTAGAATTTAATTTCCATGAACTTGTGTAAATCCTGGCTTAAAATGTGTACAATTCTTTGAATGAATGCTGAGCTTGGGATAGTTACAGTTTCTTAAGAGATAAGTTTTTATTTTTGTTTTTGCTTTATGTACTCTGTCTTAATTTTGATTTTCTAGCACACCTTGCACAGAATAAATGTTTAATAGATAATCATTGAACCATATTTATTTTTACTTCTCAAATTAAGTAGTAAGACTTTTTTAAAAAAAAATTCTCTACTAGTATTCTGATATACTTGTCATTATTATTGTTTAAAATGTTTACCAAGTATTTACTCAGCTCTCCTTGTCCCTTTTGTGTATCATATATTTAAAAAACAAAATGAGGGAAATGTATTGGTACCTATGCCTCCTAGTGGACTGCTGTCAGGTGAGGCATTTGTGTAGCAATTCTGTGTTCAGAAATGCTTGATGGCAGCTTGTGGATTGGTGGAGGGAGAATGCAGAGGAATTGAAAGGTATTATTGCTGTTTGGAAGTACTTCGCTATTTTCTTATCAAACTGATAAAAATTAATGCTGGGATTTCAGTCAGTGAGCATTGTTTGTACATTGCATTTCTGGAAAGTCATTTAGAAATATGTGACATGGACCTCAGAGTAGTAACAGTTTCTAATTTATTAATTCCACTTGTGAGTGTCTTTCCTCATGACATAATGTAAAACACAAAGAGTTATGCCAAAAGATGTTGATTGCAGCATATTTATAATAGTAAAAACTGGAAATGACCAAAATATAAATCAGTTACAAGCAGCGCTTAACTAAATTATTATACAGCTACAGGATATAATATTAAGTAGGTATTGAAGTTATTTTAAAGTTGGATGGAAATTGTTTGAGGGCAGGGGTCTTATCTCTAGCTTTGATACATGCTTTTTCTGTATACCCTAGAAAATGTTTGACGCATAGGATATGCTCAAAAAATAAAATTTGTTGAACACATGAATACAGCATTAAGTTTTTTAAAGGCAGGATAGTCTATTTCAACAATATGAAATAATATAAACATAGGTGAAAAATAAATTTTTAATACCAAGTATGAAACAGTGGGATTTTGAGGAACTTTTGTTTTCTTTTCCACAATTTTTTGTAATCTCTCAATTTTCCACAGTTCTGTCAACAATTTGTTTAGCCTTCATGTACATAAAATATGCCATTCATTTTATTGGGGGAGAAATTTCATGCAAAATTTTTGGCCTGTAGCTATGAGTTAAGAGTGGACAGTGTGTAGCTTTTGTTTTCTACAATCACAAGTAGGGCATGTGTATGATATGTAAATAATAATTTTGTATTAGAAGTTTTATCGTTAATGGCAAAATCTGGTTGTGTGGTTGGCTAATAAGCACAGTCCCTGTGAAGGAATGTTTGTGGCTCATTCAGTGGGTGAATGCATAGACAATTTGAAGTTTTTGATATATTGGGTTGTCGGAAAAGTCATGACGCATTTTTGCAGTGAAAAACAAAAAATACGTCATGACTATTCCAGCAACCCAATATTTGTGATATTTATCTTGAACACTGCAGTCTCAGCCCCCGACGGAATTTAGTGTAATCCACAGATTGCACAATGTGTATGTTTTATATTTGCAATAGCCAAGAAAAGCATACTTATGAAAAAATATTTCTTGTTTTCTGACTCTCCTTCAGAACTGATAATTCAGATTTCCTGTAAGTCATGTGAAAACTATTGAAAGTTTAGGCCAATAAGAGGGATAGATACTAAATTAGAATAAGTGGTCTTTCATGGATACACAGCAGACCTTTAGATTGTATCTCCTTAGAACATTAAATGCCTCTATATAAATAAAGGCGATCTTTTCTTAGGAGAAATTTTGGATGCTATTTTATTAGATACGCCTTAAAATTCATGCTTTTAGTAGTCTTTCTGAATTAATCACTAGCTACCTTTTTTTTTTTTTGAGTGTTTGCTGTGTGCAAGGCACTGTTCTAAGCAGTTAATCTGTATAAACTCATTTACTTAACACAGAAGTTCTGTGATAGGTGCTGTTATGCCCATTTGAGCAATAGAGAAAATGAAACACAGAGAGGTTAAATAACTTGCCCAAAGACACTGGTCAATGTCAGGGTCTGGATTCAAATTCCAAGAGCTTGTGGTCTTAACCATTATGTTATTTCGTCAGTTATGAAAGCTCCTGAATTTATTTGGTGACTAAAAGAAGAAAGAGTAAAATAGGCTTCAGTGGTTTGCATAGACAAGCATAGGGTGTTACTGACAAGTATTTAGTAATATAACCAGATCTTCCTTTTTCTTTTTAAAATTATACAAATTCTATAAATTGATTATTTTTCAAAGTTAACTATCTTTTTAAAAAGATGCTTAAACCCTGTCTTTTTCTTTATAGCTTGACTCATGGTATGTTATTTTAAACGGCACTGTAGAAATCAGTCATGCAGATGGAAAAGTTGAAAATCTCTTTATGGGAAATAGTTTTGGAATTACTCCCACTCTGGATAAGCAGTACATGCATGGTGTTGTTAGAACTAAAGTAGATGATTGTCAGGTAAGCTTATCTCTTTGGTCATGTATTCTTGTTTGTTGATTTAAGATGGCTGAGCCTGTTTTTCCTTCCTTAAAATAAAATAGCTTCATTTGAGAATTAATGAGTTTCAAAAGCTCACAGTTAATAAAGGAAACTAGATTTTATATCTGGCTCTTTGGGAAATTGAACAAGCTATATAAACTCTTAAAGAGAATATACCAAATAAATGTTGGTTTGTTAAATTTCTATCTATTAGCCAGTTCTTTATTTTTTTAAATAAAGGAAAGAAATAGGAACTTCTGAGTTGTTTATTTCTAACTTACTCCCGCTTCATGTTTCTTTGTGTAGTGTCAGTTTTGCGAGAAGACGATTTTCACTTCTCTTTTTAGAGAAGAGTTCAAATTCAGAAACTTCTTAGGTCTCTTTGTGCGTGAGTTTATTTCACCTTGACTTTTGTTAAGCGTTAAAGGGATTGAATAAAAAGAACCGATGCCACTTGATTTCTTACCTTTCTGCTCTGCCTTGGTGCATGGCGATGTATTTATGTACTATAGGTTTATTAATTGTCCTCATGTTGTTCTCGGACAGTTTGTCTGCATAGCCCAGCAGGATTATTGGAGAATTTTAAATCATGTGGAAAAAAATACCCACAAAGTTGAGGAAGAGGGAGAAATTGTTATGGTGCATGAGCACCGGGAGCTGGATCGCAGTGGAACCAGGAAAGGACACATTGTTATCAAGGTGGGTGTTTTTACTTGTTATTCTCGGCACTGACAGTATGAAGCTCTCATTTCAACTAACAGGCTTTGAAGCACTAATTGAGTAATACAAGATAATTCACTAATTTTGAAATCTAAGTAAATATATTGGTTCTTTTGTCTTTTTCTAAGTTGGATTTTATACATTTTAATGATAAAGGGTGACAGTGCCATACCAGTATGGATAGGATATTATTTTAGAATATACTGGTCTGTGTTTTCCTTCTTAAATTGATTTTTTAATCCGTTGATAATGGGAGTTAATTTCATCAAAGGCAGCAATACAGCAAAACCTTGGATTGTGAAAAATGTGGTTTGCGAGTGTTCCGCAAGACAAGCAAACATTTCTAATACATTTTAACTTGGTAAACGAGCGATGTCTTGCAATACGAGTAGTTTGTTTCCAGAACGAATTATGCTCGCAAACCAAGGTATTACTGTATTTAGAAACAAAACAGAAAATGAAAGGACCAGCCATAAAGACATAAGGAGTCCTAGATGAAGATGTAGAGTGAGTGCTTACTGGGTCTGTGACATTAAATAGGCATTAGCTTCTCTGAACCTCACTTGCGTTATCTGAAGAGGGGATGATATGCCAAGACTTTAGTAGAGCTAAAAGGGGCAGATCAAAGGCAGCAGCGTGGTTTAGTCGAATACTGATGCCTGTACTGTTCTCCCTTCTCTGACTCCCCCGTCCCCCACCCTGTGCCACTCACCCCCTCACCCACCTGTCTCTTTAAATACCTCTAGTTGTAAATAGGGCAATTGTAGTTGTTAAGAGAGGAAATGAACGATGATTGTTTCTCCCTTCAAGCTAGTCTTGGTTGTAAAATAAGTAAATTTTACTGTAAGGATGAGAATTCTCTTCTCGCCCATTAATTTAATTATATTGGTGTGGCCTCGTATATTGTATTCCCTTATTACCACAAGTGTTTTTTCAGTGGTCAAATTGTCCCAGACTTGGCCAGTGGGACCCTCTTAAGGCTGACTCCTGTATCCTTTCAACATGTCCCCATCATTTTTTGAGAGCTTCCTTATCACCTGGCAAGAAAAGGTGTTCCAGGTTCACCTTATACTTTCCCTGTTCCAGCTTTGGAATCAGCCCTTTCTCCAGCGATCCCAGGATCCTTCTAGTGGAGAATAGCATTTGAAAACCACAATCTGGGCACTCACTCTATTTATTGCTACTGATGTATCATTGCTCCTAGAGCGTCTCCTCAGACAGATCTAGGAAATATATGTATGTATTAACTATAAATACATACACACCTATAACTTTGCATATCTATCCATCTATCTGTAACAATCATGAGTTCATACCAATACTCCCAATTCCAGCACTGTACCACAGAGTTTTTTCTAGCCTTTCTGTACCATATTTGTACATGCTTTCTCCAACAGTGGCTCTTTTTATGCTCTGTATAGTTACTTATTTGCCCATTGTAAACCAGGCTCTACCATGCCACTATCTCCTTAGCACACCATCTCTTCACACAGTGCCTTGCTGCACGACTCATCTTTAAAGTTTTTTTGTATTTTTTTTTTTAAAGATTTTATTGGGGAGTTGGGAGAGGGAAACAGACAAGCTGCTGTCCTTTTGTTCTTCAGTCTAGTTGTGGAGGACGTTGCTTCACTGGCCCATGTTGGTATTATCATTGTGCTCTTCCCAGCTGAGTCAGATCGGTCNCCTTTTGTTCTTCAGTCTAGTTGTGGAGGACGTTGCTTCACTGGCCCATGTTGGTATTATCATTGTGCTCTTCCCAGGTGAGTCAGAACGGTCGCCAGTCCCTGGACAGCCACTCACGGCTGCTCTTGGCAGCTCACACTGGCTGCCGGCTACACACGGTAGCTTATGGCAGCCCACTGCAGCCAGCGGCTCACGGCAGCCCAGCTCCAGGTCAAGCTCCTGTTCACCATCTTAGCTGTAGAGGGCAGTGTCACTAGCGCTCATATGGGATCTGAACTGGGGCCCTGGTGCTCAGAGCTGGCGTCCCAAGCCAGCTCTTAACCAACACGCCACTCTGCTGGCCCTAAATAAAGTTTTAAATACATGGCCTAGTCTTCACAGATTTCCTCAGTATTCAGCCAACCTACCCTACCAACCTATCCTGCCTCAGTGATTTCGCCAATCAGAATAATGGCCTTTCTTTAACATGTTGATGAGTTCCACCCCTCACTTAGATATACATGACCTAAGAACATGACCTAAGAATCAGGTTTAAGTTCTGGCCTAAATGTTAAATACAATTTGGAACTTCTAGAGTGTTTTGGAGGATGGGAGCAGATTAGGAATGACATGTTATATGAAGAGCCTTACTTCTGACTTCCTTCTAGAGAAATTATTTATATAACATTGTTAGAACTGGGTACCTTTTTTTTAAAATAAATTTTTAGATAAGAACATTGTTTGTATTAGCAAATGTTTACCATACAGTTATTCTGACCAATGAAATTGTTTGGATGAATGCAGCACATTGAAATTTGAGGTTATGGGTAGCAGTTGGTTTTTATATTTGGCACAACACCTGGTTTATTTCTATATTTGTTCTTTGTACCCACTTTTGAAAAGGCCACAAAGGTAATAAATTTTAACAATGATTTAGAGAAGCTCAAAGATTAGCAGTAGGTAAATGCTGTTTATATTCCTTTTTATAAATTTGGAGATGGGTAAGCAGTTAAAACTCTGAATTAAATATAAAAACTATTTATGGAACTTCTGGTTCCTCTCAAGATGATGAACCAGCAGGGAGAAACTATAGAAGAGGAAACTTCTATTCTGGAAAGTGACAGCAAAAAAAATCTTATCTTGAACTGGTGTGTTCCTATAACCTGAGGCAGAGGAGAATTTGGAATATGGTTAAATTTGGAGGAGTTTCTTTGTATGTATTTTTTTTTTAAGTTTTACTCTTACCTCTCCCTTCTGTTGCCTTGAAACAGTTATCATGACATTCCCCCCCATTGCAGTAGATTTGGAAGTAACAGTCCACACCAGGAGTATATCAGTGAAGTTCAAAAGCCCTGCTATCATGAAATACCAATGAAAACAGCTATGGCTGAGTAAATTTTTATTCCTCTGCTTTTTCCCTCTAAACCTCTGAGCACTGATTGATTACAGCCCACAGACTACCTACTCCCAGTGCTAAGGGTTTTCAAGGTGAAACGCTTATCTGAGGGTTTGTCTAAGGCCTGACTATACAGGGAAGTAATTAATAGGAATTCTTTGCTTTTGAGCTATTTGTTTATTTTCTAATCTTTTCTATCCTTGGATTTTTAGGCAACACCTGAGCGTCTCATCATGCATTTAATAGAAGAGCATTCCATTGTGGACCCAACTTATATAGAAGATTTTCTATTAACTTACAGGACATTTCTTGAAAGCCCTTTGGATGTTGGCATCAAACTATTAGAATGGTTTAAAATTGACAGCTTAAGGGATAAGGTTGGTTTTATAAATATAAAAGGCATGAAAGTGATTTTAACCTTTAAATTTTATTCATAAAACCTTTTGCAGTTGATAAATGTTTACTTTGTTAAGATTTAATTCACCTAAAAAATTAGTGAGTCAGTATTGATATATCTTAGTGTAGTTACTTTTATGACAAAGTAGCATGTTAAAGGTAGATAGGAGCCTTAAAAGACAAAACTGAAATAAGGCTGTGGTGTAGCTGTAAATTCAGAAAACATGATAGCAGCATGAGAGTATTTTTTAACTGTATCAAAATTAGTTGTTTCTGGAGATCAATAAAACATAAGTTAATAGTTTAGAAAGAATATTCACCAAGTAAATATTTTTCAAGAGGGTTTAGATTGTTTGTAAGCCCCCAAATAGAATATAGTTATTATTCTTATTTACAGACTTTACAGTCATTTGAAAACATTTTTTTACCTTAATTTATATCTGCTGAGACTTACTTAAATCTACTTTTCAGTATTTTTTGCCTTCAACATTGTTTGCTATTTTGAATAGATTATTTTACTTTATTTCATGGAGTGTTTATACATTTAATGGAAAGACTAGTGATACCTTGTAAATTGGTAGAACATCAGTTTTTTTAAGAAAAATAAAAGTAGGGCCATAATTGCCTACTGTGTCTGAGTTATATTTTAAAGGAAATGAATTAGATGTAGCTGGACTGTGGAATTCTATTGGTTAGGAAACTAACGTGTCCAAAACTATAGGCTTGTCCCTCCCCCTGCTTTGCAATTATATATAGTTACCTTGGTTGCTGAGGAAGTAAACAATGCTAAGAATGAACAAAAATAATTTAGAACCAACTAGATGTCCGTATGCAAAAGAATATAGTTGTACCCTTACACCATATATAAAATTAACTCCAAATGAATCACAAACCTAAACATAAGAGCTAAAGTCATAAAATTCTTAGAAGAAAAAAAGGGGTAAAAAATCATGACCTTGTATTTGGTAATGGTTTCTTAGATATGATACCCTAAGCATAAGCAACAAAGGGAAAAAAAATAGATAAATTGAACTTCATCAATATTAAAACCTTTTCTACATTAAAGAACATTACCAAAAAAGACAGGACAACACATGGAATGGGAGAATATGTTTGCAAATTATATATCTGATGAAGGCCTAGTATCTAGAATATAAAAAGAGCTCTTAGAACTCAACAACAAAAAGACAACAATTTAAAAATGAACAGGGGACTTGAATAGATGTGTTTCCAAAGAAGATACATAAATGGCAAGCAAACTCATGAAAAATATGTTAGTCACAGGGAAACGCAAACCAAAGCCACAGTGAGAATCTGCTTCATACTCACTAGGATGACTTTAAAAAAAGGAAAGGAAATAAACGTTGCCAAGGATGGGGATGCGGAGAAAATGGAATTTCCATACATTGTTGGTAGTAATGTAAAATGGTGTAGCTACTGTGGAAAATAGTTTGGTGGTTCTTCAAAAGGTTAAGCATAGATTTACCACATAACCTAGTAATTCTACTCCTAGGTATATATACAAAAGAACTAAAAAAAAAAGGTGTGCAAACAGATTGGTATACAAATGTTCATAGCAGCACTGCGGACAATAGCCAAAAGGTTTTCGGAAACAATCCACATGTTCATCATCTGATGAATGGATGAACACAATGGGAGACAGGCATATTTCCCGTATTTCCCCATGTATAAGACACACCCTATTTTGGAAAATTTGGGGTCTAAAAACTTGTCTTATACAGTGGTTGTAGGTTTTTTTACTTGGGCATTTCCCACTTTTTTCGCGCTTGTTTTTTTTTGGGTGCTCATACAACCACTGTATAAGATGCACCCAGTTTTTAGACCCCAAATTTTTCGAAAAGGGGTGCATCTTATACATGGGGAAATACGGTATTCAACCATAAAAGAAATGAAATATCAGTACATGCTGATATTTCTCTTTTCACGCAGGAACCTTGAAAACATTATGCTAAGTGAAGGAAGCCAGACACAAAAGGTCACATATTGTATGAAATAATCCAAAATAGGCAAATACCAGACAGAAAAGCAAATTAGTGGCTGCTAGAGCCTGGGGAGAGGGCAAATGGGAGGTCGCTGCTCAATGGGGGTGGGCGGAGGGAATGTCCTGGAACCAGTGTTAGTGGTGGCTGCACACCACTGTGAACGTGCTAAACGCCACCAAATTGTAAATTTAAAGTGATTTAAATGGTGGGTTTTATGTGTATTCCAGCACAGTTTTTAAAATATGTGACTTAATTACTTACATTTTAGCTAGGCACATTATTTAACTTCCATTTGTTAGTTTTTAATTTTCTGTTAATCTATGGCACAAAGTAGACAAATGTATTCACAACTTTGAAAGTTAACGGTATTTATAAATGAAGAAAGTTTCAGATTTGTTTTTGTAAAAATTTCGGTTAAACATGTTTTGGGCTATAGAAACACCTTTGACATGTTTGCCTGCCCTTTGAAGCTTGCATTTTAAATACACTGTCTGAAGTATACATCTGATGTACTACTTACATCGCTTTGCATACAGGCATGTGTTTCCTCATTGAGGGCCAGAGTCTCGGCTGCCTGTGTTCCTTGTGCACCCAGGGAAACAAAAGCTTGAACGAAACCATGTCTAATTAAACCTTTTGATGAACCTTTTGGGTGCAGGAGAGGGGGACAAGGAGCTAGCTGTAAAATGCAGTTCTCCCTCCGTTTTGGACATGCTTGGGAATCTATTTTATGAAAGAATGCCTCTCATAACAATATGCTGCCTCCCCATGTTTTCCACAGGTAACACGGATTGTATTATTATGGGTAAACAATCATTTTAATGATTTCGAAGGTGATCCTGCTATGACTCGATTTCTCGAGGAATTTGAAAAAAACCTGGAAGATACAGTAAGACTCAAAAGGATTTATCTTCTCTAGAGTTTAGGGATTCCTGCTCACCACCCCCAAGAATAGCAATTCTTCTGTGTTTTGAATGTCTGTTCTGAGAACTTCCAAATCCGTATTTTATTCTTTATTCTTCTGCTCATCCTCTGCCACTTCAACCCAAACAAAAATCATGCTTCTTCCTGACTCTTCTGTTTCTGTTTTAAGACTAATGATAATGTTACCTCCTAGTCACCCAGGCTAATAAACTCTGGTGTACATGTGGCCCCCTTCCTTTAAATTCACTGACCAAGATGTCCAGTTGGCTGCCAAAGTCACCTACCTAGGTCACTGATTTAGGCATCCACATATTCCTGTACTCTGAGCCATTTCTTTTTTTTTTTTTTTTAATTGGGGGGATGGGAACAGAGCTGGGGAATTAGGGGAAGGGGAACAGACAAGTTGCTGTTGTTTTGTTCTTCAGTCTAGTTGTGGAGGACATTGCTTCATTGGCGCAAGTTGGCACCATCATTGCGCTCTTCCCGGGCGAGGCACATCAGTCGCCGGCTTCTGGACGGCCTCTCACTGTAGCTGCTGGCTGCTCACGCTGGCTGCTGGCTACACACGGTAGCCCATGGCAACCCACTGCCACAGGGGCTGCAGCCTACACTGTTGCCGGGGACCCACAGCAGCCCAGCTCCAGGTTGAGCTGTTGTTCAGCACCTGAGCTGTAGAGGGCAGTGTCACTGGCCCTCATATGTGGGCTCCAAACCGGGGCCCTCTGGCATCCCAACCCAGTTCTTAACCATTGTGCCACTTGGCCAGCCCTCTGAGCCATTTCTTTCTCACTCCCTAGTTTAGGGCCTCATTTCCTTATGCCTGATCTGTTACAATAGCCTGCTAATTTCTAGTTTTTCTTCCTTCTAGTCCAGGGGTCGGCAAACTTTTCAGATGGAAGAGCCAACCCTGTCCCTCACAACAATTTAAAAATTATTTGAGAGCCATAAAACAAATGAAATCACCATTATGTGAATAATATCCTTTAAAAATTTTATAATGAAACTATATTAGTTTTATTTTCATTTTCAATTTTACTTCAGAGCCACATGTACGTACCCAAAGAGCTGCATGTGTCTAGCAAGCCGCAGTTTGCCGACCCCTGTTCTAATCCATTCTGTTTGGCCAGAAGATTGTTTTTAAACAACAAATAAGATGAATATTATTCTCTTTGTCAATAAACCAAAGTATTTCCTACCAAAGTAATTCTCCACCCATATAGTCAGGCTCCTCATGTACATTTTCAGCATTTTTTCTGTGCATCCTTGATTATAGTTGACTAGATTATTTTATATTATTTGCCAGTTCTCTCAAGCTGGACTTCCCTTTTTCCAATCTTGCTATTTGAAACTACGAACCTTCAAGGCCTGTTTTATATTAATATATCAGATCTGAATTAGACTTTGTAATTCTCCTTTCTGCCTATGATTTTATTTATTTGCAATGCCTAAAGTAATCCTTTCAAGGTCCTCTTAACTGTCACAGTAGCTGTTTGTAAATCCATTTTATTCTCCCTTTTAGATACAAAACTTTGAACTGCAACTGGGTTATCTGCTCCAAGCAACTTGAAATTTTAGGAGATATAGTAATGCAGCTCAAGGGTCAGATTACCTGAATTAACGTTCAGACTCCACCACTTGCTAGATACACCCAGTCTTTTGTGCCTCAGTTGTCTTATTTTATAGATAGTAGTCACTAGTTTATTGGGATTGTTATGAGGATTTAATGAGCTAGTGAATGTAACAATCTGAGAACAAAACCTGGCTTATAGCAAATACTCAAGAATTACTGGTATTGCGCATAGAGTATAAGAGGACTGAGTTGCATAAAGGGGGAAAATGGCAGATTTTTGTCCCCTTTCCTACCTCTTGGTTCCAGTAGCCTTCTCCGCAGCACATCTGCTCTGAGAATGAATGGACCTGGGGAGCTTGATTAAAGGCCCTAGAGGCTCCCCACCATCATTTGGGCCTTCCAGTGCTGACTATGGAGATACGTATTCAAGGGGCTAATGGAAAATAAAAGCTGCCTTACAATCATGGGATTTTTTTCCCCCAGCAATCAGTCAGTCATCAAGAATTTATTGAATTATATTTTATACTCCAACGTGTTATATATATAGGGTCAGAACAGGTATAAGATTTGGTCCCTATCCTGAAATTACTTTAGCCTCTTGTTAAGAACATGAAATTATATGGATTACACTATTGGAGAAGTGTTGAATATTAAACTGGTATTAGGACCTGGAAGTTAGAATATTACTAAGTTTAAGGAAGATCTAAAATAACACAGGAGGACATTTCTGGAAGAGGTGGAGATTTGAATGTGTCTTTGAATTTTAGACAGTATTTGGAAAAATGGTTCAAGTCTTTAAGGTTTTAAATCAAAGTTTGAAAAGCTTGTGGTATTATATAACAGCCAGGAGATAAGCAAGAGAGTAGTCGAGTATGTATGTGGAAGGTTCAGGTGTCATCTCTCTCTAAATGAGGCATCACTTGGTCTTTTCTAACCTGTGATTATCTGGAAGTTTTTAAAAGTGGATACTAAGAGATATTCTTGAGAGTGCACTGGGGTGGAAGTTTTCCCTCCTCCAGTTTTATTTAACCCGGCTAACATGTTCTTCACTCTATATTTCAAGTATAGCTCTAATTCTGATAATTTTAGGTGATTTTTTTTAAAAGCCTGTAGGAATGGATTCCTACATTTGTATACATTTTACCCTTTTCTACTTTCTAGAAAATGAATGGTCATCTCCGGTTACTGAATATTGCATGTGCTGCAAAGGCTAAATGGAGACAGATTGTACTGCAGAAGGCCTCCCGGGAGTCCCCTCTGCATTTCAGCCTTAATGGAGGGACCGAGAAGGGATTTGGTATTTTTGTCGAAGGAGTAGAGCCTGGTAGCAAAGCTGCCGATGCAGGACTGAAACGTGGTGATCAGGTAGGTAAATAACCAACCCCTTAAATTAAAGCCTTCTAAGTATTATGTCTGCCATTTTTGTCTCATCTGGTATTTCTTCAAGCAAGCATGATCAATTTAAGGAAATACTGTTTTGAGCTTCTTTGTTAGACATGGTATTATAAAAGTAGTGTATTTAAAAAATGTATTTGTCGTGTATCTATTACTTTTAATGCAAAGTTGGGCCAGAAACAGCGTGGTCGTCTTGGCACTATCAGCATGACCTTTTTTGAGTGGTTCTGCCCATCCTCCAAGGATTAAGAAGCTGTATATCTGGCAACTTCAGAACATTCCAGAAATATCAGTATGTGAGTTAGCACCCTTGCAAGCTTTGAAGGAACAAGCACTTGAACTCATAGCACTCTAAAATGTGAGTGGCCTAGTGAAGTGACATCCTCCACAACTAGACTGAAGAACAAAAAGATGGCAACTTGTCTGTTCCCTTCCCTGATTCCCCAGTGCTGTTCCCCTTACCCAATTCACCAATAAAATCTTAAAAAAAAAAAAAAAGTGAGTGGCCTAAGATGACCATAAATGGTGTTTTCAGCTTAGATAATGTTCATGGGATAACAGAACCACGTCCATAGCAGAGTGGGCCAGGTTGAGAGACTAGGAAAAGGAGACACAGGGAGGGAGATGGTAGGGATTTTCTCTCTCCGTATCGGCTTTAGGTAACTGTAAAGTGTTGTATTACAAAATGTGATTACTGACAACCTCATTACTAAAAAATGCAATTCCTAGGCTCACATCCGTCCTGTTATCACATTCTCCAGCGATGAAGCCTGGGCGTCTGTATTTCTAACAAAGCTCTCTAGATGATTTTCATGTGTGCCAAAGAGTGGTTTCCCAAGCCTAGCTGAATCACTTGGGAAACTTATGTTTCCCGTTTAAAAATTGTTTGTTCACTCATTCATTTAGAACGTGGCTTTGTTTTACTTTTAACTGAACCATACTATTATTTTTCAAAATACTGAGGCATTCACATTAGAAAAAATTCTATACTACAAAACAGTGGTTCTCAGCCAAGGGTGATATTGCCCCCACCCCGACCCCTAGGAGACATTTGTCAATGTCTGAAGATATTTTTAATTGTCATGACTTGGGGATTAACTGGCATCTAGTGGATAGAGGCCAGGGATGCTTACAACACCCCACAACAGAGCAGCCTTCACAACAAGGAGCTATCCAGCCCAAATATCAATTAATGCAAGGAGTCAAGAAACTCTAATACAAAGTTGTAACGATTCCCATCTTCCCTTAAGGGAACTTTTTAAAAATAGAGATTTCTGGGCCTTACCCCAGACTACTTATTAAGAATATCTAGTAGCTAGGATCCTGGAGTCAGTATTTTATTGTTCCCGTATTTTATTGTAAACACCTAGAATCTCATTCTTCACAGAAAAGAAAAAAAATCCAATGATTTTATTCCTGAGAGGGGAAAGAAATTTATCATGCTTTTACTTCAGTCCTCCCAGATATCATTGAAATTGAGATTTTAGATCTAGATTTTTAAGTCATTTTTTAACATTATATATATCTTAAGAATACTTTTGACATTTGTGTGAAGTTTTACAAGTTTATTATTACTAACAATTATGTAGGCCTTTACACCTGCCTTGCCTATTTCATTGATCACCTTCATTTCATCTATGCCCTATGTCCCCATTATTTTGATTCATCTCTGGTCGTCTTCTACTTTCAAAAAGGGTACATGGGTACCGTAGTTTCATGTGTCATTGCATGTCTGATGCTTTTGTTCAGTGGAGTATGAAGTTCTTTGGTCACAGTTATTTTTCCCTCAGAACTTCGAAGTCACAGAGGAGTATCACATCATGTTACTGTTGCTCAAGAGAAGTCCAAACCAACCTTTATTTTTCTTTTCTTTTTTAGGTACCTTTGATCCACAGCCCCACTTCCTAACCCTACAGTGATGCTTATAGTTTCTTGTTTTCTGTCCTTAGAATTCAAAATTTTCATCAGGATATGTTTTAAATAATCTCTATATTTTCTTTGCATGGTACTAGATGACCCATTTCATATGTAAACTCAAGACTTTTTTCAACTCTGGGAATTTTACTTCTGTGATTTTTTTTCTTTTCCTGATGTTTTGCCTCCACTCTTTTTTTAAAAAAAGATTGTATTGGGGAATTGGGGGAGGTGAGCAGCACTGGGGAATCGGGGAAGGGGAACAGACAAGTTGCTGTCCTTTTGTTCTTCAGTCTAGTTGTGGAGGACATCGCTTCCCTGGCCCATGTTGGTATTATCATTGCACTCTTCCCTGGTGAGGCAGTTGCTTGCTGGCCATTGGATGGCCATTCACGCTGGCTGCCGGCCATTTACTGTAGCTTCCAGCAGCCCACTGCAGCAAGGCTGCAGCCTACACTGATGCTGGCAACTCAAGGCAGCCCAGCTCCAGGTCGAGCTGTTGTTCACCATCTTAGCTGTAGAGGGCACAGCCTCACTGGCCCATGTGGGAGCCGAACTGGTGCCCTGCTGCTCAGAGCTGGCGTCCCAAGCCAACTCCTAACAAATGTGCCACTTGGCCAGCCCTTTTTTTTTTTTTAATGCTTCTGGAATCTTTGTGTCAGTCCCTGAGATCTGTCCCCTGTGCTGCTGCTTTTTTGCTCATTATGCTTATCTCTCTCTCATTTTTCCTTGGAATTGGTATTTTTTAAAATAAGCTTCCTGTGTGATTCTGAGGTACTGCAGGTTCGGGAAGCCCTGCTGTGAAAGATCAGCAGTGTCACACGTAAGGGGAACCCATTGCAGTCGGCCTTGGCTTTTGGACTATCTGAGTCAGTCAGTGGCTGGAAATGGTATTAGATGTATTTAGACTACCACTTTTAAATGAATTAATCTCTTTAAAATGCAATAAAAATGTGCATTTAGAATATTTCACTAAAATTTGTACATACACAGGCAGTTATTTTTATGAACTGATCTAACATGATTAAATTTTTTCTTCATATACAAACCATCCTGTGTTATTTTTAAAATTTCCTTAATATCCCAGAGGGAATAAACTTTAAAAAAAAAATGTTAGAGATTTGGGGAAATACAATAATGTAGAGAAAAAGTGAAACAGTAATCTCACTTCTCTGAGAGATAACTATTGTTCACATATGGGTGCATTTTATTCAAGTTTCATTTTATTTTTTTACCATTAAACTTAAGGTTTCAGAAGTAACTAATACTGTTCATGTCTTAATTTGTATTTTTCATATACTTTTCTGAAGATAATGGAAGTAAATGGACAAAACTTTGAGAATATAACATTTGTGAAGGCCCTTGAAATTCTGAGGAATAATACTCATCTTGCATTTACTGTAAAGACCAACATTTTTGGTGAGTTTTGTTGTAAAATCTGAGCATTTTTTTGTAGTAGAAAAACGTCATTACAAGGAAGGAGGTTAGTAAAAATATAAACGTGTTTCTGCCTTTGGTGTTGAGATATAGTATTATGAATTCCAGAGTTTATTTGCATTTAGTTATGTACATTTTAAAATACTTGTACAACTACTCAGTCATTTGTGAAATGTCTACTATTATGTACTGTATTTTGTTGGGGGATACTGAGTGAGACTTAGAATGACCTGAATGAAACTTAGAAGTCGGAATTAGGCCCCCCCTTCCCCTCTGCTAATTTGCAAATCGATCTAATTCTAATGTTTTAGCTAGCTTTCTGAAATAATAATATGAATGCTAGATTAGCTGCTTCATGGAAATAAATTAAGTAAAACATTGAATTAAGCAGTAAATTACAGATTTTTAATAATAGCGTACTCTACCTTTATGTAGAAATGTTGATTACCTATAGTATGTTTTGATAGTGTTGATATTTGAATGAAGCAAGGACTGAGCTTGTACTTTTAACTTAGTCTCCTATTTGTTTTTTCAAACATTTAGGAAAGACTTACTGTAATTTGGTTTTATTAAATGCCATAGGATTTTCTCTGAAATTCTGAGGACAACAGTTGAAAACTATCAAAGAAAGTTTGAGTCTCTATGAAGTAGGGAGGGAAAAAAATCTTTTATGTACTTTAGGTTACAATTTGAGAAAAGAGTCGAATTTCAAAGCGATGCCTGTGGAAAAGGAAGTATGTTCTATTTTTTCCCACTTCGTCTCCTCCTTACACTGCACTTAGTCATAATGAAAAATGAAACGTTTGGTATTTTTCCTCATTTCACTTGAGTTCCTTTTACTGAATTACATCATGTTTAATCTGGTAAATAACTGTCTATTGGCAGTTTCCTAATATTGTGTTAATTTAGCATCAAATAAGTAAGCCTTCCCAGTTTTGGGGCTTCCTGGAATTTCAACTAGTATCTAGAAACACCAACTTTTGGGTTAAACTAAAAGGATTCTGATTTTGAAAAATATGAAGCAGAACTTGTTATGTCACTTAGAGCAAATTATTTAGTCTCTCCAAGCTTCAGTGTCTGCAACTCTGTTTCATAGGGTTCTTAGAAGGATCAAATGCCTTTAACTTTTTGTACTTGGCACATAATAATTACTAACTGGTATCAGGTATTATGTATAAAAAACACAGAAATAGTTTAACATGGACCTTGGGAGACAGAAAAGGTAGACCTGAATGAAGGATGCAACACGACTAATAGAGATGTCCCACGGAAAACAGCGACACTGCTTTGGGGCTGTGCTGTATTCCAGTGTTTACGTCAGTACTCGCAGCCTCCAAGAGTTCTCTTTCCTCCAGTAGAGTCCTGCCTGCTCCACACCTCATGTTTAGGCTCAGAAAATGACCCCAGCGAAGAAAACAGCTCGCACAACCCCAGTTTATTCTCTTCCTGCTCTGAAATTTTCGTTCATCTATTCCTCTTGGCTTGCACAACTTTCGAACATCTTTTAAAATCGCACCACTCAGATAACTTCTTATTAACATTTAAATTTTTTAGTAAAAGTAGTACATGCGTATGTTTTAAAATTAAAACACTAAATAAAAATACATGCTAGAACCATACTGTGTACAGTATTCTGTACCTTTCCACATTGGTTCATACTGATTTACTTGTATGATTGTTATTGCATAGAATTCCGTTGCATTTTTCTCATAGTCTATTGAGCTGATGTCATATTGATGGATGTTGTAGGTTATCAGTTTTTGCTATTTACAAGGCTGAAATAAAAACTCTTTGTACTTATATTTTATGCTTACACACCTGTAAATAAATTTCTCAAGATGGAGTTACTTTTGACAATTACTAGAGTTTTACTTTCCAAAAGTTGACCGCAGCCTGCATACTACATTCATCAATGTATAAGAATGCCTCTGCAGTGGGCATAATCAACTTCATAGTTATTCTCATGCGTTCTTTAATAATGAAGGAGGTTGAGCACCTTTTTATGTGTTAATATTTCTTTTTTATAAACAGTCTTTTTGTCCGTTTTTATACTGAGTCACTCATCTTTTGATTTGTTTGAATGCCCTATAAAAGACAGTATCTTTTTGTTTTTAAGGATTGTGAATATTTTCCCCAAGTTTTTTGTCCTTTGACTTTCCTTATTTGTGTTTTTTGTTTGTGTGTGTGTAAACACACACATATATATAGAATGAGAAATTTTTAATCAAATGTGTTAAACTTTTATTGATTTTTTTGGGCACCTTCATTTCTGATCGATATATCTGATATTTGCTGTTTAATAGTACTGTAATTACATTTGCCCACCATCCATTCATTTTTGTCCTTGACTAATTTTTCTAAAGTCAGCACAGTCATTTTTTTAATCTACAAATCACAAGCTCCACAGATTTTTACTTACAATTATCTAAGCAAGTCCAGTGAAGATATAAACTACTTTGTACACTGTCACCTTAATTTAACATACCATAGCCAGAGATATCTTCCGCCCATTCAGAGACCTGCTCTTCACAGAAAATTCAGACGCCTTACCATAGCATCGTCAGGCCACTTCTCTCTCATTATCTTCATTTCCTGAACACTTCTTTTACCACAGGGACTTCGAACTTGAGATTTCCTCTACCTGGAATCTCCTCCCCCTCCCTTTGCCTAGTTAAAATTTACCTCACTGGTGTCTTCCTATCTGGTGATTTAGGGAGATTTCCCTGGCCTGCTACCTTAGTTTCTCTTGTTATGTTCTCTCTCTGCCACATATCTTAGACTCACTGTATGTTCCCCAGCAGGAGGACTCTTCAGACCTCTGGCATAGTGCCTGCCATGTGTCCACAGATAAGGGAATATTTTCTGAATGGATGTACATCTTGATTTTAACTCAAAAAAGCATTTTTACCTTTACAACATGGCTTAAAATCAAGTGAAATTTTGAAAATAGAAACTGAAAGGAATTTATCATATTTTAATCAAGCAGTATTTTTGAAAGGTGATTTCTAAAGATTTTCACTATTTTGAAGGCAGAAAATGCTTTTCATAAGCTTGCAGTATACTTTGGTGTATGTAACATCATTCTGGTTGAAATTTTCAAAGGGGTCCAGTTTTACGACTGAAAACCAATTATTTATGTTGTAATGTGTCAATTCTTAAGGCTTTGTCCATTTGAATCTTGTCAGTCCTTTGATG